TCCTATCAGATTTACACACTGTAGGTATATTAGAATCTGTCCTTAAATTACAGCCAAACCCATTCACACAGTAACAGATAAAAACCTTTAGATAAATCAAACATTACCGCCACATATCTGACTCAATAACCATTAAAACAACTATTTTCATTCATTTTAGAAGGAATTATTCACATACATGTATTATATCAAACTGAACTTCCAACATTCACCACGCCAAGTACCATTTCCTCCGATCAAGGAGCAGCCGGCCTGCTTGGTCTCGCAATGAATTCAGGGATATCCAAGGATGGAGAGGATACATCGGACCCATCCTTCAAATCGGGCCAAAAGAAGGACCCATTTGTAGGTCGCATAAAGAGGAGTCTTAGAATCCAACCAGACCTCGGCGCCGCGCTATGACGTAATCGCCCTTTGAATCTGGCCTTCGGAGGACGCAGCCCATGGATTCGAACAGAGCCTTCTTCTATCGATGCCATAAAGCAGCATGGTTGAGGTCAGGAACATCGGACTTCTGGATCAGCCTGCGCGTTGACTTCATTCTCCGTTTTAAAAAAAAGACAGCTGGTCAGAGGTCAGCCATTTAGGCCATAATTTATAGAATGAGTATCATCATATCAGCACTCTAATGTAATGAATCCATACACTGACTGCTCCTTTTTAATGGATGAAGTTTAAGGTAAATAATGCTTCAGTTCCAGGAAGCTAAACTCTCTCTACTCCTTCTGCAGAAGCTGGTTTGAAAATCCTGTTTGAAAATGAACTGGCTGTGGCCGATTTCCTCCTTCCCAACAAAGTGTGCCTCCTGTACGTGTCTGAGGGGGACATGGTGGCAGGAAACGGGTTCAGGAGGAAGCTGGTCCGCTACAGAAACGTAAGGGAAGTCCTTCAGCTGCATGTTCTGCAGGGAACCTGTTCACCTGTGCTCTGCTCTCCGGCTGTTTTCCAGGCCAGCAGCAGCTTCCAGCAGCTAGTGTTGGCGGAGAGGACCAGGCTCAGTGAGCAGTACTTCTCCGCCCTGCAGAAGTTTGTGGTGTTGGACCTGGGTTTGTCTCTGCTGCCTGTCGGTGGGCAGACGGAGGCCTCTCAGCTCATCACTCAGATTGTAAGTATCCAGTGTTGATCAGGATCTTGAACCTTAGAGAAGACCTAAAACAGTGTGGGAGATGTTATTTACATCCACTATATCATCTAGGAACAATGCAAAATATGTATAAAATGTAGGCTGTGATGGAAAAAAAAAGAAGAAATACAATAAAAAGTGAAATATTTGTATCAAGCAGAGCAGAAATACTGAGGTATTTAGTTGAACATTTATTGAAAGATCAGGGGGGCACTAGGAAGTGATGCATCAGGAAGGTGGAATCAGATGTGCAGCTATTGGTGGTTTACCTTTAGCACAGTAAGAATTGAAGCTCGGCCATAGTGGCAAATGTTTGATGCATCATTTGTGTGAATCTGATTATTCAGATTTTGCCCTTATAGTAAATTGAAATTTAATTACTTTGAAGTCGGAAAAAGAATAGCATTTTACCCTTTTGTAATAATAACTTAAATAATGTGTTTTAAAAACAATGACAAAAAAACAATGATAAATTGGTGTCAGAGTTTCCTTAAATAAAAAAAGCTCTCTCCATTTGTTTTAGGTTCATGGGGAGGGCAGGGAGAACCCATTCAGACGGAGGACTTCATGCCGGCTGCTGGATTCAATCACTCTGGCTATGGTCCAGCAGATCCCCGGGGTCGGCAAGGTCAGAGCTGTGACTCTGATGCAGAACTTTCCCAGCATCCAAGAGATCTCCAATGCATCCCCGGCTGAGTTAGAACCCTTGGTGGGCCAGGCCAGCGCCCAGCAGATCCACAGCTTCTTCCATGCTCACCTGACTCCTGGAAATTAAGGACCAACGTGTCATTTTCAGTGTTTCTTTGGGCTGCACCTAAACTGTGGCGCTTCCGTGCAGCTTCATATGAAGACTTTGAGAAGTGTTGTAGTTCTGGAGTCAGATTTTAACTCCAGTCTTGGAAAGAATGTGAACGGACTTCATTGAAAACGACAGCTTGCCTTATGTGACTGCCTGACATCGCATTTCTACGCCGAGACGTATCGTTACTCAGCCGACATTTGACTTTCTTTTTAAACACTGAACAATGAAGTTTATTCTGTGGAGAAGGGTGGAATTTTNTTTTAACCAGGAAGCATCGAATCGATCGTCAGTGTGAGGTTTATCACAACAGATCCACCTGCTGCTAAAACTAGCATAATCTATGGCACCACTACACTAGTTCTCTGTTGGAAACACACTGGCAGATGATATTAGCCAATCAGTGATGGAGAAAGGTCAGGGAGGGTTTGCTATGACTCAGTAAGGATGAATGATTAGTGGACATGTGTTTTCATAGGTTAACTCAAAAACAGCTGATCTGACTCCTAACCAGCCCAAATGATCTCCATCCACCTAAAATGAAAACCGCCCAATCTGTCAACACTGCACCAAATCACGTCAGCGTCCATAAGCCGGGCATACACTGTGCAATGTTTGCCCTTTACAGGCCAATTCTATGGTCGTGTGAGAATTTACGATCTGGCCAACTTTCAACCTGATCGTGGGTCGTGTGTCCTGTAGTGTACAGGGAGTAACGAGGGGATATCAGCCTCTCACAACCACCTCCCGATCAGGAATAGTAAGGTTGGGATAAAATCAAACATGTTTGAAATTCAGTTTGCTGTCTCAAGGATTCTTCTTCTTCTTGTTCTTCCTCTCAGATGAAAACACAGAAGCATGATGCGGGTTTGAGTGAAATGGAGTTTTTTCTGTAAAATTGACAGATTGCAGTTGCCACGATTGCTTAGGCACGTCTTTGTCCAAATACGTCGTCGCCTTTTCTTTTTAGGGCTTTGGGCACATAAAATTGCACAAATTGCCAAGGCAACGCATTGCCAAGGCAACCCTGTGGTTTGATCTTACAGTGTGAGCAGTAGCTGCGTGCAACGATTAAAAAAATCCTACAGTGTATGCCCGACTATAGGTGAAAGCAATCAATGCAAGGTCATTTCTTATATTATGTTTATGGTCAGTTCATCAGGATTATGATCCCACTAAAATATGTAGTTGTTGTTCAGGGGGGGCAGATCTCCAGCCTAACTTCTTGTTATTAGATTCCATGCTTTTACTTTTTTTTTTCTTATTTAGACACAGACACCAGCCTCTACAAAGGTGGTTGTTTTTGTTGTTGTTTTCTCAGAGACCCTGAAACTCTGTCCTGTATGATGAACTGTATCAGGTCACACAAACAGTGGTTTGAGGAAAGAAACACCTTTATTTGTTTTGCTATTGTGTTCAGTCTGTACTTGTTTTACTGCCCCCTCTGTACAAAGTGAGTAATATGTATTTATTTAGGGGCATTTCAGCTAATAAAATCTGTATCAAGTACCTGGTGATGTGGAAACATTACTTTTTATGTATTCATAGTAGAATTTAAACACCAGATTTAGCAGCTATCACTACGGTGTGGTTATCACACGCCATGGCTGTTTGACATTTTTTCATTTAGAAAAAGGCAGATAAGAAATCAGGAAGCATTCAACTAGATTAATTTGTGACAAATAGGATTCACAACACAGCTGTTTGGAGAGATTAGGTGGCTGTGTGGTTGCCTGATGAAAATCCTGCAAAAGTAAACAAACCAGTGGTGGAGCCAGATGGATAGTTGGGATGGCAACTTTGTACATAGGGGACCTGTCATGGATGACCCAGAGGAAGAGGATCTGCTGGTGGAACGCATGGATGATGAGGCGGTTAGAGATGAGGACTTAGTGGAGGACAGGGGCAGAGCTAGATGGGGGGCCAGGGGTGGCCATTGCCACCCTTAGGCAATCATTGGCCCCCCCTGTGGCCCCCCATACCATTCCCCCCCCCCCTCTATTACATATGGTGGCAGCAGTAATACTCTTAAGGGGAATATT